CAGGGTTAAGAAGTTACTATTCAACAAAATTGCTAAGAAAATTAGAAATCAATCTGACAAAAATTAGGTATAGAGCAATATCTCACAGTCTGTGCCATATTAAGCTCCAAATGGTTATATGACTTATATTTCACAAGTCATATCATAAACAAATTGGAAGAATAGAAAAGATACTTTTCAAAAGTACCTTATGCTTAGGGAAAGTGTACTTAACCAAACAAGGGATAGAGATGATCATAAGACATAAAATACACAAGTTGGTTGTAAAAGTGAAAAAGCTGTGTATGAATTCAATGCAATTAAAATTAGAAGAAAAGTGGTTAACATGAGGGGTATTTTTGTAGCAAATTTCTCTCTTAAGGATTTTATATCCAAGATGTACAAAGAATCATATAAATTTATAAGAATAAGAGTCATTCCCTAATAGATAAATAATCAAAAGATATGAGCAGGCAGTTAGAAGGAAGGAAGGAAGGAAGGAAGGAAGGAAGGAAGGAAGGAAGGAAGGAAGGAAGGAAGGAAGGAAGGAAGGAAGGAAGAAACAAAGAAAGGCAAGCTATCAGCAACGAAATAAATTTTTTTCCAAACCATGAATATGAAAAATGTAAATGAAAGGTACTTCGTCATCCCACCCTATACCCATTAGAATGGTAAAGTATCACACAGACAAAAGAAGAAAATTCTAATTATTGAAATTATGTGGGAGGATAGACACCCTGAAATCCACTATAAGTAGAGCTCTGAATTTATGTGACTATTATCCAAAGCAGTTTGTAACTATGCCCAAAAGATCACCAAGTTTATACCATTTAACCCACTGATAACAGAAAGAGGAAAAGGACTCTCATGAATAAAAATATTCATAGTATTTTTATGGTAGCAAAGAACCAAGCCCGACAGCAGGCAATGGCTGAACAAATGAATGTATGGAAACATTTTTGTGCCATGAGAAATGACAAAAAGGGATGGGTTCAGAGGATCCTTGAAAGATTTGTGTGAACTGGTGCAGAGTAAAGAGATCAGGGACAGGGAAACATTTTATAGTTACATTATAAAGAAAAGCAACTTTAAAAGACTTAAGAATCCTAACAAATGTTGGGGCGGCGAGGTGGTGCAGTGGATAGAGCACCAGCCCTGAAGTCAGGCAGGACTTAAGTTCAAATCTGGCCTCAGACCAAACACTTGACACTTACTAGCTGTGTGACCCTGGGCAAGTCACTTAACCCCAATTGCCTAAAAAAAAAAAAAGAATCCTAATAAATGCAGTGACTGACCAGAAGACCAAGGATGATGCATAATGAAATTTGATGGACTAGAAGTGAAGAATGAGATAACCATTTTCACATATGGGCAATGTATGGATTTGTTTTGCTTGTCTGTACATTGTTGTGAGAAAAGGTTTTGAGGAAGAGGGAGGAAGAGAGATCATGATAGTGATGCCAAAAAAGCAAACAAAGAGTGACATTTTAAAAAATACATTAATGAAGCATTTACAGAGAGTGAATAACAAAATCAGAAGGAATTTCAGAGCAAAACAGACAAGCAAGACAGCTTTGGAATGGGTGAATTTAGAATATGTTTTGAAAACAAGCTGTAGATAATGAAATTCCCAGTTTCATGTGCAATACTCCTTTGTATATGGAATACTTCTTTATGTATGGAAGTGTCTGTTCATTGCTGTTTGTCAAGTTCAGAACAAGTTAAAAAAAAGCTTTAAAGGTACAGGGGAGATAAAAATTCCTTATACTTGCATTGCAAAAGTACTAACTGTTCAATATTCAAAAAACAGTCTCAAGAAGAAACATGATCTCTGTCTTAAGATCTTTTCCTTTAAAAGCAATAACAAAGAATAATCTTTTCATATAGTCATACTGTTTTTCTTTTCTACTCATTGGTATTTGCCACGCTATAAGATTGAGCATCATGCTGTGATTTAAAACCACGTTAAGTATTTTGAGGTTCTTTTGTCTTACCAAGAGATCTTTTTTCTTTTTAGGAAAAATTTTCCTAAACTGTGGCATTGACCATATTGCTATGATATGCAGATGAGCTTTTATGCTGCACTCTCAGTATCTTAGTTTGTGTATTTTTTTATGTTGTTTGACAGTTCTGTGATGACTGTGAATTGTTTTCAAAGTTCCAAAATGTCATAAACAGAACTTTTCCATTATGAACCACAGAAACAAAGAAAAAACAAAACTTAAAAATACAGATTCAGTGGATGGATTTTTTTTTTCTTCAGATGAGAGCAAGTCCAACCTGGAGATAAGAGGCTGGCCCCAGGTATTCCACTAGAATTTTTACATTCACCCAGTGTCCTCCTCACCTTCGCTGTGCTCTGCTTACTCACTTCCTTGTCCAGGTGGAGTTCTCCCAATAGCTGAACCTCGTTGTGTCATATCATGCCCCTTTCAAAAAACCCTATCTGGAGTACATTTTTGCAAGTATGTGCTTTAGCCCACACAAGTTAACAGTAGTAATTTTTTTAGAGATTCTAAAATTTTCCACTTGTGAAATATGACAGCTATGTAGAACACAAATTCGTATATAAGAAATATGCTGACATCATGATAGACTGAGGAATTTTTGGTGCACTGCCATATTTCATATAAATAAATACATATCATGTATGTGGAAGTATATGTATGTATGAATATATATGAAGGCGAGTGTGTACATATGTACATACATACATGTATTTTGCATTATCTTATACAATGACTAACCTACATTGTCATCACCATCTTTTATGCATCGAACCCCAGTCTGAAACATCCGTTCCTCTCTCCCCTGCCACTCCAGTGGTAGTATTACAAGATACACACTGCCCCAATAACAAAAGTTAGCTATATCTTACATGCACAAACAATCCCATTGACTGATCCCTGTGTGGCCTAATCCATCCTTCATGTAACTTCCTCAACCAATTCCCTAATAGCAAAAAAAAAAAATTTTCCAGGGGGGAAAAGGAGAGATTTATTGACATCACCTGTCAGATGTCAATAAGCTGTTATTCAGCCTCCAATGGTCTCAAACAGGTGCCCGTTCCTTTATCCTCACAATACCGAAGACTTCCAAGAGTATATTAACAGTCCTTAGAGGTTCTGCTGACAGGTATTTTTCTCTATAACCAGACAACAGGGGTTTTCCTGATGTATCCTGTCAAGAGCCAAGGAACTAGAGAAGAGCAGGGGGAACTGAGGCAGAGTGCCCACCTGAGTTAACATTTGATAGTGAACTGGCCAAATGAGTGAGAAAGCTAAGAGCCTGAGGCAGATAATGGGGTCACAAGCAGGAATCAGAGAGTGAATGAGAGATGAGTTATTAGAATTTTAGACTATAGTGGTGTGTAGGAGAAATGTAATAAAGTTTTAAGATTGGACAGTACAAAGTTCTTTAACATTGCTATGCTATTTAAATGATGAGTTTTATTTTTATAAATTATGATGTGAAATTCATGTTAATCTCTCTGTTAACCAGACTTAGATGGTTAACCTTGGTTTTTACTTTATTGCAGGCAAAATAAATAACTGAGCTTACAAACTGAAATCTCTATACCAGTGCTATCAAACTCAAATAGAAACAGGTCTCTGAGAGCAGCATATTAACTTTAGAAGCCCCAAGTTAACATTATCTATGTTTCATTGTATTTTTATTTATTTTGTTAAATATTTCCCAATTACTTTTTAATCTGTTTGAGGAGTGTTGCCTTGAGTTTCATACCTCCATTCTAAAATGATAGCAGTCTTAATACTTACATATGAAAAAAAGGGGGAGGCAATGAGCATTTATATAGCATCTACTATGTGTCAGGCACTGTAAGTGCTTTTTAAAAATATAATTTCATTTGAGCCTCCTAACACCCCTGTGAGGTAAGGGACATTATTATTCCCATTTTACAGATGAAGACATTGAAACACAGAGGTTAAGTGACTTGCCTAGGGTCATGTAGCCAGTGTTGGGGTTCATGGGTACCCCACAATGTTGGGGTATGCCAGAAGGATGAAGAATAGATGGGTAGGTTGCAGGATCTGTCCTGAAAAGAATTCATTCAGACGATCTCCAAGACAAAGTCATTTATTGGGGTAACGCACCGAGCAGGCTCTCTTCCTTATTGGAGGCCAGAGAACTGAGCCAGAGTAGGTGTCTGGTCTGTGTACAGTTTGACAGGATAAGTGGAAAGGGAGGAGGAGCATCGCTCAGGAATGTCACATAATCCATACAGATAAGCAAAGGGAACAGGAAAAGGAAGGGAAAGAGCTGTTCTGGAATGTCAGGTAGTTGAGGGGTGCTTTGTGAAAGCACACAGATAAATCCACGGGGGGGGGGCGGCTTCAATGCATAGTCTTCTTGATCACTCTTCCGGCTGGTCACATCCTGCATCCTGCTTGTTCCATCTGCCTGGAGCATTCCTTTCCACCTCAACTCGTCACTAGTAAGTGTCTGAGGTCGAATTTAAACTCAGATCTTTGTGATTCCAGAACCAGCAATCGATCTATTGCACCACCAGCTGCCTAATGGAGGTGTTTGTGCATGTGGAAGGTGAAAATAATTGACATGTGTATAGTGTGTTAGGGTTAACAAAGCACTTCACATACAGTATCACCTTTATTCTTTACAATCCTGTGATAGGTATTACAGGCATTAGCACATATGGGAAAACAGAGAATCAGGAAATTTGAGTGATGTAGCCAAGTTCACATAATGCCTAAGTTCACTTAGTGTGTAAGTGAAAGAACCATTGGGTGAAAGAGTTTGGGTCCAAATCAAGTGTTCTTTACTCTGTGCTATTGTTGTCTCCCAACTATTGAGATCTAGAGAGTAGATCTTGGGATTCTCTGTGAGGTTTTCTAACAAACTATTTTCTCTTGATGGAGGGGACAGAAAAAGCTAAGTGTCAGTGTTAAATATTGCTTCTTAATGGGTCAGTCTGACTTAACTGTCTATTTTATATTTTCTGTGCAAACGACAAATTATAATATTGTGTTAATTTCTCCCAGGTGTGATTCTCTATATTCTCCTGGTGGGGTACCCTCCTTTCTGGGATGAAGACCAACATAGACTCTACCAGCAGATCAAGGCTGGAGCATATGATGTATGTAATCAACTTAATTACAACAGCCTGTTGAGGATTGGTTTCTATTTAATAACAATTCATATTTTTCTTTCTCATATTTCATCTTGGCTGTTTTTGAACCTAACAGTAACCACAGTTGTGAATGCAAGAAAGTCATCTTACTGTTTCTTCCCCTTTGTTAGGGAAAGATGCATATAAAATTAGAAATGCATCATCTCAGTTATTCTAATATAATTTTGTCCTAACTCAGTGTCTCTTATGACTGAGGACAGCCACTTTTTAAAATCTGGAAGGCAAAATGGTTGCCCCTGACTTTGTGAAAACTTTAGCTCTTGACACATTTAAAAAAAAAAGCATTTTTTTTATTGAAAGAAGACTACATTTCATACAGGTTTTTTCAGCTCAATTATTTTTCCCAAATCAGTCACATAATTTTGGATTGTATCTAACTATTGCCTAGTTATCCTAATCTTGTAACCATATCCTAGTAACTGTTACCTAACCATCTGAATTTACTATGGAGTCTGAAATTCAGCAATTTGATTTTTTTTTAGCTCAACAGAATGCCCACTAATATCCACTATTAAGTGGCTATATTTAATTTAATTTTAATTAGAAAATTCAAATACATGTATACTAAATACAAATAATGTATACTAAATACTAGTAAGACTATATATGTACACACATATATACATATACATACTACATATATACATATGCCTACATACATACATATAATTTCCATTAGATTATAACCTCCTCAAAAACAGTTTTTCATTTTGTCTCTGTATCCCTTCTTCAGTACCTTGCATATAGCAAAGGTTTAATTATTGCACATTCAGAGAATTTGTATCTTTCTGAGCTCTGCATAATGTTACTGATATACTGCCCTGTGACAAATACCTCTATAAGTACTGGCTTGTAGATGCATGCTCAGTTCTGTAGGTTCTTACCTTATCTTCCTTTAGGTGTTAACCTAAAGTCTTAAAAGGGTACGTTAGGGATGCCTTCCATGCCTTCTAGATGTGGGGATCTTGAACCCTTTTTGAACAGAAAGGTTCAGCAGCAGCAAAAATATTCATTTATATGTTCCCTGTGCGTGTGGGGTAAAGGGTGGAAACATTTCCAGGTGTGTTATAAAAATCCTATAGTAATTTCAATCAGCTTTTCTACATTTCTCCTTTGGAACACAGTTATATTAAATTTTATCTGGGCAGTTGTATAGCATGAAAACACTGCTGTTATAGCTAAGGAGTTATGCTTCCTTCTGCTTGGCAAGAGAAAGGAATGTAAGAGGTTTGGGAGGATAAGAAGTAAAAACTGTGCACCAAGTTCTCCTCTCAGGAAAGCATATAGTTTGTGTTGAGCCCGTTCTAACATGTTAGGAAATGTGCAGAACTACCATTTTACCCCGAGGGACCTCAAGTATTACATCTGCACAGAGTCATTTGTAAATGTACACTGGGAATACATTGCTTATTGAAGAAGATATTGGCCCTTTAAGCTATAGAAGTACAAATGAGTACCCTGAAAGAAGTAATTTCTTAAATATATCACATGAGCCTGAGTTAATATTTATGCAAAAGTAATAGTTGTGGGGGGCAGAGGGGAAGGGAAGGACAGAAGTCTCTCCTAACCTCAGTAAATTAAGTTCTATTACAATACCCAGGAATTTGTTATATATGCATATGGGAACTGAATATTTCATCGTACATTACTTTTAGTTGAGATTTCTGATGTAAAATTATTTTCTCATTATATCATATAATGCTGCATTATTGAACTGCTAAAGATAAGCTTCTAGAGTCAAAATGGAATGCACTATCCTTCATGAAAATTTATGTAGTGAATAGGTCAGTGTGTTTTCTTCTTTTTTGTCAGTGGTTCAGTTATCAAACCATATTGAATCACTGAAAGTAGACAGGGAAGTGACTGACTGAATACAATGCCATGCTGAGAATGTAAGGATAGCCATCCTGAGGATTCAGGGATATTGTGGAATGAGAGGTTGCAAGCGAGCCGGCTTCTTCAGCCTTCTCCCGAAAGAAGTAATGGAAATGCCAAAGTGGAGCAGAAACAACCAGAAACCTTCAAACAAAAACTTGTGGAATCACTTAAATAAGATAAAAGCAAATCTTCTATAATAGTTTAAAAAAAACAATAAAATATACACTGAAATATCAGTAGTAAGGCAAGAAGATGAAACTCAGTGAATAGGGAATACATATAAATAAATGAAATACCAATGGAATAAATGGACAGTGAATTATCTCATTGAAGAATAGACTTAGAGGTAGAACATTAGAAGCAGAATATTAAGACCAGAAAATAACTTATCTAAAAAAGATTTGGAAACAATACAGACAGAAGGTTTCTAGCAGAGAGATCAAGGACTTTCAAAAACTGTGGGGAAAAAAATAATCTCTCCACTGTATTTTAGGAAATTATAGAAGAAATGTTCCTAGAAATATTAAAAATTAATTAATACCCTACAACAAGGATTCACAGGATACCAGGAAAGAACTCTATACTTAATTCATCCAGCCACATCAGTATAAATCTTCCAAGTGTACAATGACAAGGATGAGATCCTACAAAAAAGCTAGAGAGGCACCATATATCAAAAACAGCAATTTTGATTCCACTAGATTTTTTCCCACAAAAATGAAAACTAATAGAACAATCTGGAATATAGTTAAGGAACTCAATCCCAAAAGCATTCTCCTAGAAAAGCTAAGTATTCTCTTAAGAAACAAGACTGACATTTTAACATCAAGATAACATGCTTCTCATAAAGAAAAGTAACACATGCATAACAGCTTTTGCATCTCACAATAAACAAGAGCACCCAATACATTTGAAGAATTGAAGACTGAAATGTAAAAGGAAGAGCACAGGCGTGGATTATCAATGTAGATGATTCAACCAGTATTTATTGGTCAAATTGATGATTATCTCATGCTTTTCTGAAAGCAGAGTTAAAAATGAAACAAACAAAAAAAGAGTAATGCTATCTTGGCCAACTACTTGAATGATGCAGTTAGGTGTGAAAGGAAAAGGAAAAAAAAGATTTGATAGCTTAAAAAATATTGTTATGGCCACTAAATATAAAAGAAAGAAAAGAAAGCAAGTAAAATGAGACATACAATTGTATTATGTTGTTGTTAAAGTTAAAAGACATTTTAGCAATATATAATTTGACGATTATGTTTATGTGCATGGCTTTTAAAATTTTTACCTTTATCTGGGTGCTTTTTTGTTAATACTTGAAAATATTAGAAGCTTTTTATTTATAAGGAAAAAAATGACTGCCCTATATATTAGATGAGCTTAAAATTTTTTTTTTCAACTTAAATGGGCTCATAAACTTGGCAGCTAGAATGCAGCTTAGACTACTATCAGCTACTTTTGACAGCACCTTGCTTTGTTTAACTATTTGTGTGAAGGTGAAGAAAAGAAATGTGGAATATCACTCCAGAGAGAAGGGACAAAACATAGAGTTTAGACAAAAGTAAGAATTAATGTCATGTTAGATTATTAAGTATTGGAATGGGCTAGTAATGAAGTTTTGAAGCGTGATTCTATTCAACTACTCCCCTGCAGAGTTTTTGAAAGTTGGAGAAATCACTGTTTTCCTTGTATGAATAAAATGAGAGACTGTTAGATATCTCTGTTGTGATATTGCAGATGGCTTCCTAGAAAGCTAGTATGAAATGCCATTTTAAGGCAAAACAGTATTTTAAGATCTAGGGCTTTCAGGTTATTTTCTTATTTTTAGAATTGTGCCATATCTATCCCATATTGACTTTGTTTATCAGTTACTCAATTCTTTCATGTGTGTGTGTGTAAATGAATTTCACACCCATGAAAATTAAATTCACAGACTATCAATCTGATGAATTTTATACTCTTTCTATTTTTTAAAGTTTCCATCACCAGAGTGGGACACTGTGACTCCTGAAGCCAAAGACCTTATCAATAAAATGCTCACTATCAATCCTGCCAAACGCATCACTGCATCTGAGGCACTGAAACATCCATGGATCTGTGTAAGTTGTGGCTTTTTAAATCTTCCACATTTGCAAAGCAAGATGTACCATCCTTCAAAATTAGAGTCACACATTCAAAAGAAGTTGCATATATATATATATATATATATATATATATATATATGTCTTATTTTTAAAAATTCATAGGATTTTAAATCTTCAGAGCTTGGAGGGACCTTAGAGGTCATTCCTTCTAACTCCCTCATTTTGTGGTCATCTGGTAAGCAGGCATTCTGGCATTTGGACTTGAATGTTGTGATTCCAGGTCTTTACACTCTGCCACATTTCTTTCCATTGTCCACCAAAGTGCAAAACAAAAATCATAAAAACACAATGTATAGACCTGGAAGTTGCTTTAGAAGTTGTCTGGTAAAATATCTTCATTTTATGAATAAATAAATTGAAGTCCAGATAGGTTAAGTGATTTGCTAATAATGTTTAATAACTGCAGCTATAATAAACAAACACAGCTATAATAAATATAGCTACAACAAAAAACAGTGGGTAAATAAATAATTCCAATCAAGGTATTAACAGAAATTTTCAAGTAAATTTATATCCTGGGTACCTGTGAATATGGGTATTCCCATTCTGAAATATTTTGTGGTAAGGTGAGGATCAAATGAAATAATACTAATGCTGATGGATAGTGATGATGATAAAGAAGGTGACACCGGGGTTTAAAAGTATAACTTGAAGTTAAGAATAAAATAAGTTAGTTCAGGTACCAACCAATATCTTCCATTAATCACATGTGCATTTGGAACTTTGGACTAAGTTTAAACTTTGTGGTGTTTTAATAAGGTACAATAGTTTAAAAATAGAGAAAGTAAAAACAAAAATCAGATAGGAAAGCACAGAGAGGCTTGAATACATTTTCAGGAATTGCCCTTGTCAAAAGTAGGTTCCAAGTATCTGTAGATATAACAAAGATTATTAGATAGAATGGAGTGCTAATTGAAGTTAAGGATGAAACTGGGATTAGAGCATAATTCAGGAAAGGTTTTGGGGTTTTTTTCCCCTTTATTTTGTTGGGTTTATTCATTTGCTTGTCTCTTTATCTATCAATCTAGGTAGTTAGTTGGTCTAGTGGAAAGAGTGCATGACCTGGAGTCAGGAAGACCTGAGTTTGAATCCTGCCTCTGACGCTAGTCACGTGACCCTGGCCAAGTTACTCAACCACTCTGTACCTCAGTTTACTCTTATGTAAAATGGAGATGATAATATCATTTAATTTACAGGGTTGTTGTGAGGGTCAAGTAAGTTAACATATAGCTATATAAATGCTAACTATTATTATCCCTTTATAATTTGTTTGTGTATTTAGAGACCTGGGTCTTTTTCTTGCCAAAGTTCCAAGTGTAGTGACTATAGTGACCACTCTCAGTCCAGATCCTAATGCTGATCAGTCTGGTTTCCCACCCGAGCAGCTTCTTTCCTCATTAGACAGCCTGGTGGTCCCCTGTTCTAGAGGGCTCCCCATATTGGTTCAGAACTTACTGTGGACTCCAGAGCATCTCTCACCCACTGAGGCTCAGAACTTCCAAACTTAAGAGATCCATCAGCCTCAGATTCCCCTAGCAGCAGGAATTTTAAACCTAGGACACCATGTTGGGCTGAAAAATCTTTTTTTTGAAGTTTTTACTGTAAATTTTTATACTTTGTAAAATATAAAAACTGTACTATAGACATAGAAAAATAATAATCAATAATGTTAGGATGCAAGTTAATAGTTTTGCTGAGGAGGTTTTTTTAAATACTAATTAACTAACTTATAATTAGATTCTTTTAAATTGATAGCGTGGGTGAAGAGACCATTCATGTGAATTTAGTAATATGAAAAGAATACTACAAGATGTCATATATCACATGAAGTTAAAAATAATTGTATTTTTTTCCAGCAACGTTCTACTGTTGCTTCTATGATGCACAGACAGGAAACTGTAGATTGCTTGAAGAAATTTAATGCAAGAAGGAAGCTGAAGGTAAGAAAACTAAAATTTTCGAGGGAAGACACGTTTCTCCAGGTACATTTAATAGAGTAGCAACTTTGAAGGAGATCTGTTTTAGTGAAAAAAAACATGTTCCTGGAAATATTTTATGACAGTTGGATGTCACTTGGTGAAGAATAGAAATTTGTATCACTGTTTTACCTTCTCCTGGGTCATGAGTAAATGGAATATCCATTTGATGTTTTGTGTGTGTGTGTGCGTGTGTGTGTGTGAGAGAGAGAGAGAGAGAGAGAGAGAGAGAGAGAGAGAGAGAGAGAGAGAGAGAGAGAGGGAGAGACAGACAGACAGACAGACAGGCAGAGAAGCAGCAGGAGCGGGAAGAGCTGGATGGATCAGTGTATCCACTTCAACAAAAGTCTCTTCCATCTTTTAAGAACAGCTATATCCCATGACAGTCTGAAAACACATATAAGGACATTGTGAGGGACCTATATGTGTGACTTTCATGATAAAAGCCCAAGCAAAAATAAAATTAGGAAAGTCTTGACTTAAATGCCTTTTTTGACACTGTAGAAGTTGTCCATGGTTTGGCTTTTAGGTCAGAGATGTGTCTGTGGGTATAAACCTTAACTATGCATGCTTACTTCTTTAACAGGGTGCCATTCTCACAACCATGCTGGCTACAAGAAATTTTTCAGGTATGTGTGTGTGTGACCTGACTTTCTTCTATACACCATGGCTTCTTAGAGTGTCATATTTTGGATTTTAAGTCATGTAATAATTAATAGGATTACTTTAATCATGCCATAAGTCAGAAAGACTTCTTCCATTGTAGTCTTCTTCTTAGGTACAAGCAGTGTATCAGAGGTGATAAACCAAACTATATTCTTATCAGGAATAATTGTGCTTCAGGACTTCACTCTGAAATGCCAAGTAATTAAGAATAAGACGGTCATACCTAGGGCAGGGCACAAAATGGAAATTACTATTGAGAGGCGTGTTTTTATACGCCTAAGCGTTTTTGAAGGGACAATTAATCTTTACAGAATTTTTGATTGTATCTTGGTATCTTGAAAGAGGTCGTGTAACACATGTATGTGTATGCATGTATGCATATGCACATGTATGTATTTATATGTATCCATATATAGACACAAACACATACACATGAGTAACTTGCCCTTGAGAAGTAGTTCAGGCCCTCAGGTTTGGGGCAGTCCTCAGAATACCTGATAATACCAGATAATTTCCTTACTTCTCTTTTTTCCCCTTTGTAAAATGTTTTCCCAGACTGACTTTTGGAATAAAAGTATAGGATGTTTGTGAGATTTTTTTTTTCATTTTTTGTTGTATCGTTCTGATTATTAGTTATGAAGGATTAAAATCTCCTCTCCCATTTTGTCAGTCTGCTTTCTTGATTAAGATTTTAACAAAAAATAATTGGTGGTAGAGCAAATACCAAAATCATTTCCCTTTCACTTGCTTTTCTAATTATAAATAAATGTATGTGTATAAAAGCCTTCCAAAGGCCTCCTCCAGAGAGGTTTTCGACATTGTTTCAAATGATAAACAATTAAATGACAAACACCCCAGTGAACAAGGCAACTGAGTTGGTCTGTTGTATGTATTTTGTCCTTTTAATTTGGGTGTTCTAAATCCATGTTGCTGCCTCTGTTGGGTTCCCCATTTTATATACAGGTATTTAATATAATTGACATTTATGTGGGTGAGTCCAATTGTCTCATCTTTTAAAAATTATACAATAAATATTGTAATCAATTGCAAAATAGGCTAATATTTTATTGTGATGTACTAGCTTGCTACATTTTATGGTGCTTTAGAGAGGAAATTGTGGCGATGACTCAATATTTTTCAAATACACTTCTTTAGCATGAATATTATGTGTTTTATTACCGAGTGATTTCATAGACACATCTGTGCACCCACGTAGAGTACTGTTTTTCTTCCTGTCACATCCCTTATACCCTACTACACTAAAACAAATCATAAGTAACATAGAGGTTTTATATTATTTCTGAATTTCTCATCATCTGTCATTCCCAAGTCCACAAGTTAGCATAGCAGCCTGTTGTAACATCTTGCACTTGATTTTTATTTCCAAGTAATTCTGTTTCACTGCAAAAACTCTGTTTCATTGCAATATTTGTTCTTTAAAGTAATTTGTCCATAAGTATATGGTTATAAAGTGTTTTTTTTTCTTTTCTTCCTTTATGTGGAATATATTTCTTGTGAGGTAAGGTCCATAGTAACTGAAAGGGATATCTCTGCATTTCCCAGGCCAAACCCCTGCTCACCCCAAACCATTGTCTTCTTCTTTCTGCTTGCTCTTGCAATTCTAAGTTTGCTTTCCTAATTTAACTGCCTCTGGGTTTCTATAACAATCGTTTTTTCAGCTCTAGACAATCACAGGCATTCACTGTTTTATTGTTGGTTTAATTTTTAAAAAAATTAATAGAATTGTTGAGGATTAAAACTATATACAAATAGGAAATGAACACTTGGCGGTATCTTTTATACATATACCAAAGGGGCAGTGAGATTATGGCACACACCAACATAAAGCTGAGTAATTCATCTTTCAAATTCATGTATTCAGGAAGCTTTATTTTGTCCAAATATTACATTTTAAAGGTTAAATTCACTTTTCAGCTTCTCATATGGGGCTGCTACCAACTGAGATCACCATTGCTGCTTATGACAATATATTTGTGACTATTTTGACTCCATGTATTAGCAATCTAAGGGTTTGTCACTTAGGGGGTAAGCATAATTTTGGGTGACTGCCCCTTTAGTGGTAGAATGTCCCTGCAGCAGGAGGGAAGCTGCTGAGAATGTCCTATACATTTGAATGTCTCTGTGCTGGTTGGCTTACGTTAAGATTTTCTTATATCTTATACTTTATCTCCTGGTTGTTGTTGTTGTTGTTTAAAATATCATGTAAACAGATTTTTATTCATTTGAAGCCTATGTGTTCTAAAAATAAAATGCTTTTTCCTTCCCATTATGAATGTTAGATACCCCTGAAAGTATTCAACAATTTGCCTTTCATTTCACCCTAAATTTAAAATAATGAGACAATTTTAGAAAAAAAGAACAACATATATTAAATGTGATTTTAAAATAATTTGCTCCTGGCACAATAATCGTAAAATACCCATTCTTTTTACATGTGATTTCTAAGACATTGTAAAAGCCTGAGGGTGGGTGGTTGGGGTGGGAGGGTGTTAAGAAATCCTGTCACTGTTTTGAAGGTATAAATTGACATGAAAAAAAAAAGTAATGTTTTGCCCAGAGCAAATTTTTACAAAGAATCTTAAATCTCTGTAAAGAGGACTCTGCAATGATAGTCTTGATATGGTCACTGTTTTCCTAGAGGTGTGAATAAGTACTTAAAACACTGTTACCATAGTGTCTGAAAAATGAAATCAGCTTTCTGGATTACTGTACTATGGTCCAACTATAGTATCCAGTATCCTTCTCATAAACAAAAACAAAATAAACAAAAAAGCAAATCAAATAAAACCCAGCTTCTAATGGTAGCGAAATAAAGGAGAACCTTTTCTGACCAGTTAAAAATGAGAATTTTGTTCTAAATTCCAAATGGCAAAATCAGGAATAGGGATACTGCATTTATTTATCTTGTAAGCAGTTGCTTCCCAATGTACAATTGATAATTATACATGGTAGCCAGTGGGCAGGTGCCTATATGATTGGTTGGATAGCTCACTGAAGTTGAATTTACTTTCATTTTACAGCAGCCAAGAGTTTGTTGAAGAAAGCGGATGGAGTAAAGGTAAGTGTAACAGATGCTTTCAAAATATTTCAGGCTCTGTTATTTTTTTTTTCTTTTCAAATGTCAGATATCAATTCTTCATCTTTGTAGGGTTTGTTGCTTTTTTTTTGTATGATTCTGGAAGTATATAACTTTAGATTCTAAATAATTAAGTCTGTGAAGGTGAGGTAATTTGCCCTTTTAGAGAAATAAGAAAAATTACGCTTTGAGTAATTGATTTCATTACAAATGTTTTTGACCTGGCCATTATGTGAAATAAGAGAACTGGGTGTTTAAATCCTATCCTGCTTCACTGCTGATCTTAATTACCATAATGAACTGAAAATCTTGCTGAAAGACATAATAATGTGTATTCCTCATCAGTTGAAGTGGATCTAAATAATCTGGGAGGAGGGGCTGAAAAATCATGATTATTTAGGTTGTGCTAGCAGAGAGTTTTCATAAAGTCTGGTTGTCAGTCTTCCCCTGTCTCAGGGACTTGGGCCCTTTCCAAGGTGAATGCCTCGAGTAAATGTTTTGAAAATCAGCCAAGAAGCCAGTTAACTGCACACCATTTTTTGGTTTCCTTTTCTCTAGGGATTCCTAGAAAACAAATGGAATTCCAAATAATAATGTTTTATACCTGTTTCTTCAGGTTTTACTTAGTTTCAAAATAACTTGCTTTTTACCAAACTCTAACTCTATCATTGCATTTCAGCTTGTTTTTAACAGAATACAACTTAAAATTTGTTCTCTTAATAGTTTAGTCCTTTTCTTAGTCAACCATCCAGATGAAAAACGTTTTACCATCTAAATTTTCAGACTTTTGAGTTAATATTCTACTATTTGTACAGTTGCCAAAGTCAAGTGGTGGTCAGTTTATGTTCTAGCTACAACACAGAGAATGATTTATTTATAATATAATTGGATTACATAGGTTTAATTATGCATCATCTGTCTATGCCTAATTTGGACATTTTAAGGACTTTGGTTACAGTAATGTTTCTATTTTTTTGTCAGGGTAAGATCTACCATTGGATCAAGGATTGTTCTTGCTAACCTGTAATCATATCTTGTGTTTTAAATTTATATTTTAATAATGACAGTTGTCATCTGAAGTTTCCTGACATATGCTATTTAAAGTCTAACAAGGGTTTTAGCTGTCCCATGAAATTCTGCTGTACAGTTTTGTGAAGCAGGGGTCACATGACTACCGGGAGGGCTTCCTTTGCACTATGAAACTCGTGTAGCATGAACATTTTCCAGAGCATTCTCCACCAAATATCCCCATCCCGTGCAGCACAGATCTTCTGTCTAAAGACAAAGCTACTTGTATACTCCGTGCTTTGAAACTTTAAATTCAACCGGTCACGTTTTCTTCTTTTCCTTTTTCCTTGACTGGTCAATTCAGAAAAGGAAGTCCAGTTCGAGTGTTCAGATGATGGTGAGGACCTTTATCTGCCAGACTTTTCCTCTTGTGAAACATTCACACTTTAGAAATAAAATATTGACATCTTAGTGTAAGTGACAGGTCTCTTAAAATGCGGTGTTGATTCCTATCACCAACAAGCCCTACTCTCCTCCACAGTAGAGCAAAAATATATTTTCCCCCTTTTTTTAAACCAAAACTTTAAAAACCTCAGCCACCAAGGGCAGAAATGTTGTCACATTCAATGAATTCCTTTCATCCCGTCTTCCTTCATGTTGAAAGGATTTTTCCTAGGTTAGACTGAGCCCAGATCTCTTTTGGGCAAAATGAACAGACTGCAGCAGAGTTAGTCTGTTTGTTTCAACTGTTGTCCAATTGGTGCAGATCACCTACTAATCACTTTAATTGATAAGGTTCATGATTATAAAAAAAAATTAAACAAAACTAAAGAAAAACAGCCTCATCTCAGTCTGTACCTTATTTGACACAGAAGACAAGGCCTTAGTGTCCTTATATTACATTAGTTTTATCTATGTTCTGACATTAACAGTAGGTCCAAGTAAGAGTTAAAATCTGGTTAAGCTTCACTCGTGGAATTGTTCCTGGATTTTAAATATTAATGTTTGGGCAGCTAGGTGGTGTGGTGGATAGAGCACCAGCCCTGGAGTCAGGATGACCTGAGTTCAAATCCAGCTTCAGACACTTACTAACTGTGTGACCCTGGGCAAGTCACTTAACCCCAAATGCCTCCAAAAATTAAAAAAAAAGAATATTAATGTTAAATCTTGGCAAAAAAAATCAATATTCCTTCTTTATATGATTCCCATTGTTATTTAAGCACTAGATTCATGTTTTAAAAACAAACTGATGAAAACAAAAATGCTGGCCTTTCCAATATAAAAGAAATGCATATCACCTGTAAAATTGATGGGGTTTTTTTCTTCGTTGATCTTACCTTTTATTAGTTCTATTGAGAGGCAACATGGTGTAGTAGATAGAGAGTTGGTCTTGGAACCAGACAGACTTGTTTCCAATGCTTTCTGGCTGTGAGACTTGGGCACGTGACTTTACCTCTCTGTGCCAGCCAGCTCTCTAAGACCATAAGTTACAGCGTATGTGCTGACTTGCATCTATAAAGGGAAGCTTCTCATGTGGGAGTGCCTTCTATCAATGGAATCACAGTCTAGGTCCCTCTTTGTGTTCATTTGAACTTCAGTTTTACACACAATCAGTATTTTTTATTTTCTAAAGCAAGAGTATTTCATATTTTGATAGCCACTATGGCTACACTTAATTTTATGGCCAGCATTTAATTTTTTGTTTTAGAAAAAAAAAATTTAATTCAAGTACATTTAAACATTACTGATAATGAAGATCAAGGCTCCCTCACTTAACACGTGATTTTTTTAAAAAATTGCATGTTAGAGGATGCCTCAGTAAAATAAAAGGGCCTCATTTTTTATTCTCAAGAGAATGACTAGCTATATATCTATATATGTATGTGTGTGTATATATAGGTGTGTACCGAGAGAGCCATTTTGGCTAAAATGGGGCTATTTTGGCTACCTAACTCCGAGAAGAAATATTAATCATCCTCTACCTCAAAATAGATGTAAAATCAACTCAGAAATGTTTCCTTAGATACCAATCATTTTCCAGTGACATGAGAATCATATCCACAGCTTAGTGGCTATTTGTCCTGCTCTCATCCTCAGAAACTCCAATATTTGATTAAAAGACAACTGTATTTTTGGGTAGTTATTTTTCCTAAATCGGAAATGCACTTTTCCCTTTTTATCCGTACTAACTTAAATCCTGTATTTTGCTCCCCTATTAATAGCCTCAAGTGTCTCTTTTTAAATTCTTTTATGCCAGAGCACAAATTGATATGTTGAGTTTTACATATCTTGACCCCAAAATGTCAGTTACATAAAAATGTACCCAAAAGCTGCAGTGTAATTTTCACTTGTGACCTAAAACACAGAAGGGTTCCTAGTAACACTACCAGAATTTTGTCTTTCTTCCTTTGCTTGCATGTCACTGAACTCACTGATAAATCTTGTCAAAAAGACACACACACACAGAGTAATATACTTCCAATCACACAGTGTGTATTAAAGTAACACAGTATAGAATAGGAAAATATCATTCACAAATTAATTTTGTCGTTTTCTGACCTCTTCTGTCATTGGTAAGTAAGTGGCAGTTTAAAAAGAATTTGTGCGAAAAGCAGCATAAGGAAACCAATCAGATTATGTTGCTTGTTTGGTCTTTACCTGTTTTATTTAACCCTAACTCCCTTTAAGCCACCACATGTGATTCTTTGTAACACATTTTGGCATTTCTTTAGGTGATATATTGCTTCATTTATGTGTCATAATAATTAATGAAAATACTGAGAGGCTGGAGTCCTAACAAGATGTCAGTTTCTATCCATGTTCACTAGTTATAAAGCAATTTGGTAAATCTATGGGTTTCGAAGTATTAACAATTTAATATCTTGCACTGCAATTTCGGTACCCATCCACCCCAGCCCAGCCCAGTTCACCCCTGGTACAGTGATAATGTTATACCTCGCTGGATTCCTTTGCAGGGACCATTGCAGTTGTCACTGCCTTGTTTCGGTTGCTTGAATCATAGTTTAGTAACTTATGCACTGGAAGTGATATACAACCAAACTGATTGTCTATGGGGAGATGCTGAGAGAATGTTGGAAAGTAGTGGTTAACCATAGTAAGGGTACTACAACAAATGATTAATGTTGTTTCCTTTTGAGCAACAGTACAAAAAAATCCTCTTTATATGCAAAATATCCTTAAAAAGGGGTGGTTATCTAAGTTTAGCTCTTTGACATGCCCATTTAAAATGAAAATTTATTCTTGTAGCAAGCTCATCTTCAACAGTTTTTAAGGTGTGACAAAGCCCACACTTCCACGGAAAGCTTAAATTCCTAATCGGATTATCCACAGAGCAAACAAACAGATGGTGGCTCACCAGAGAAAATCTCTTCTGTATTTTGCTTTTGACTTCAGGCCCAAGAATAAAGAGAATTGAAGAACTCTTCATTCGGGTGCCCAACTGAAACCTGGGAAACCTAACTCAGAGAGTTTGAAAACGCTCATATGGGCATTGAATTAATTCGAGTTCCCTTTTAGAAGCAGCCCCTCTGCCTGGTCACTAATATGGCATCCCAGCGTCTTGCTGAAGCAGCCAAGGTCTGATTTATCATGCAGCCATCACAAATACTGTAACTAGACGATGGGTACCAGAGACTAGAACTGATCATCAAACCTGCCGGCCATCATGGTTTCTTTCTTTCAAGTTCATGACTTCATCTTCAGTTGCTCTTGATCTCCATGTCTATTTTCGATATAGACATGCTACGTTATGGAGATATTGGCTTACCAGGAGGTTTAAGGCTTGTCTGTTTCTATTTTCTGCATACTTACAGATCAACAGCAAAACCAACGTGGTAACCAGCCCCAAAGAAAATATTCCTACCCCAGCGCTGGTATACCTGGATTCTTCTTTACAACCCAAACTTAAGTTCTTTACTATTTTCTGTTGTTTCATTTGTTTTCACCATTGTTTCGCTTTTCAAGATGTGATGTATTTTTTTTAAAGTGGTCCATTCTTTGTGGTTTTGCTTTCGCTTTTGTTTTATTTTGTGAGGAAGCCAGCAATGTGTTTCTAACATTAGATTGTTTCATTTCTCAACTGGACGTGGTAGTGAGAGTTATGTTGTTGAAAGCTGGTCCTCTTTGCATGCTGTGCTAGAAACGGAATAGATTTTGCCTTGGGTGCTCTTAGCTCTTCTCCTGATGAAGCTCTTAGCTCTGAAATATGTAAATGATGATTCTTTTTCTTTGGCCCAGTTGGTGACATCAAGGAGAGCTAAGAGGATTGCTCTCAGACAGCAGTCAAGTAGGCCTTATTCAGATTTCCAGCTTCCGTCTCGTCTGGAAGCCAACAAGGCTTTGGAAGACTTCTCTTAATGAGATCCAAAGGCACTACTGAATCTGAAAAAAATCTTCGTGTTGCCCTGTTTCTCTCTAATACAGACAATAACACTGCAAAACATTGTTGGTTGTTAGAAGGACATGAGCAAACATCAGCTGTTATCAATTCAATCCCTCAGAAATTGGCAGGCACTGAATTATTTTTAATCTTCAAATTTAAATTACGAGATTTAAGTCTCTGAATTTCAGAATGTTTCTCACATCATACTGTGCTTTGATAAATTATTTCTAGTCAACCCTTCTCATCTTGGAAATTTTCCTTTAAAGTGTCCATCATTCTGAGGAAGCTTGACATATATAATTTCAAATTCAGGGAAATTTTTAAGTAGAGAATTCTTCATTTTACGTAATCCAAAATCTCAAACTTTAAAAAATACCGGGCATGATATGTTGTATAGTAATGCCATATGTAAACTAAAAATAATAATAGTAACCTACTTTCTAAGGCTGCCATATATACCTTGTCCCAAGGTATATATGGAATACTGTCACCTTATTAATTTCTTCTTCCCAAAATTTTTTTTCAATGTACCATACTGAGAATTATTCTCTACAATGGGAATGCTTCTCCAGGTTTATTATGGACATATCATTGGGAAAGAACATATGTAAGGAGATGTTCATAAAGCAACTTTGCAAGCTTTAAAGTACCATATAAATGCTAGTCCTTATTATTACTGATCAATCATGATACTGTAGTGCAACTCTAATAAGTATTGTGAGTCTCAAACAAAAGGGGCAAGCATAAGAGGTACATCTTTGGGACACAGGAATGTTGACTCAGAACATCTCTGAAAATAATCTCTACAGATTAATCACAAAGTATCAAGAGATAGAAAGAAGACTCCAAATTTAGGAAGGATTGTCAAGTAAAAGTAAACTGTAACTCCCAGTATAAATAGCAAGGCTTATATGTCAGTACCATGCCTGCCTCAGAACTGACATTTGAACCAGTTCAAAAGGAATTTTTTTTAAAATAAATTTTTATCAAGAACTGGTTTTTGGGGGCAACTAGTGGTGCAGTGGATAGAGCACCAGCCCTGGATTCAGGAGGACCTGAGTTCAAATCTGGCCTCAGACACATAACACTTACTAGCTGTGTGACCCTGGGCAAGTCACTTAGCCCCATTGCCTAACCAAAAAAAAAAATTTAAAAAAACTGGTTTTTTTACATCATCAGTATTTTCCTTGGTATCTCTGCCCTTACCCCTCCCAGAGAACCACAAATAATAGTCTTGGAGATTAAAAAAGAGAGAGTAAAGGAAAACAAATCAACACTGATCAGTAAGTATATTGCAGAAGTCTGAAAATACATGCTATGTTTCACATCTGTGGACCTTCCACCTCAGCAGAGGGGTAGGGTGGCATTGTATTCAACAGGTGCCTTCACGGACTGAAAACTTCTCATAACTTTTTTCAGAAGCATGTTTCAGGAAGCATTTATTGGGAATCAACTACAAACCAGGCACTGGGATAAGTAAGGGAGATGTAACCTCACCAAAAGAAAACAGTCCCTGTCCCTGAGGAGATTATGTGATCTACTGGTGGGAAAACCCATACACAGAAAAACAAATATAAATTCTAGAAAAAGTAAATAAAAAGTAATTCGGGTAGCGGAGAGAGGTCCAACAACTAGAGGGAGGATCAAGGAATGTGAACCAAGCCTTAAAGTGGGCTAGGGATTCCAAGGGGCACAGGCAAGGAGGAAGAGCATTCCATAGGTGGGGAGAGGGAGGAACACCTTGTCCCAAGGTGTATATGGAATACTGTCACCTTATTAATTTCTTCTTCCAAAATTTTTTTTCAATGTACCATACTGAGAATTATTCTCTACAATGTGAATGCTTCTCCAGTTTTATTATGGACATATCATTGGGGAAGTAGTATTTTCTTTACAGAAATGTTGTGTGGCAGACTTTGCTAGAATCTATCTAGCTCTTAAAGCAGAGATGCCTGTTTTGCTACTCATTTTTGCTAACATTAGCCTACATAGAGAATGTGTTTGAATGAGTAGAGATGAATTATTTAATCCATTCTCATATATTTATCTTTAGGATATAGTAACTATATCTTGAATCTGTTTCTGTGTAGTTATCAAAATAGGTTCCATTGTTTCCAAAGGGTACTCAGTTCACTCCTGATTATTCTTTATTCTTTCCTATTATATGAATGATAATTTTAGAATTGAAGAAAATGCAGCTGGAAATAGCTGAGAAGCATTGTGGTATAGTGGATGGAGAGACACCTTGTCTTGGAATCAGGAAGACCCGTGGTCATCCTGTCTCTAATAGATATTGGCTAACCCTGGCAAGTCACAGTCTCTCGGTGCTCTAGGCAACTAACGCTTTCAGTTAGTCTGCTGAGGTGTGCGGGTAAAGGTTAAAAATAAACTGACACACACAACACACACACACCAGGCATGGCACATTTCTTTTTGGTTTAATCTGTATTCTGAGACTTTTCTCCGTCATTTTCTTAAGTACAGACAATCAACAAAACAAACAAATAAGCCCTGCTTTGTAACATTAGAAAAAGCAAACCTGTATTGATGGCATTGCTTCTGAGCTCACCAACATTTTCCCCTTCATTCTCTAAATTGTCCATTATGGAAAGATGTGGTTGGCGCTGTGGCATACAATTATATAGAATAAACGGTAAACCTTAAAAATGAGGAAGTTAAAATGTGAAACAGTGAGTGCCTCACTTCCAAGCCTTGTGTACCTGGACCATGAATAAGGTCTTTTGCATGCTGCTACAGTAGGGAGGCATTATATTTTATGAGCTGATTAGGCAGAAAACTTTTCATCCAAGAACTTGTTAGCTGCAGCCTCTGAGGACAGTTAACATTGCTTCCGCTCTTGTCATTGTTAATGATTTTTTTTTAAGTTGGCTCCCTTTGCTCTATCCCTTACACCAGTAAGACAAATGTACCAATGCAAACTGTTTCTTTCTCTATTTTGTTCTCACTCAGGAGCCCCAAACTACAGTAATCCACAACCCTGATGGAAACAAGGTATTCAGAAAGAATCAACTCCATCTTGCTTTTTTTTTTCCCCACAAGATGCTTTTACATTTCACAGAAGAGTCAAAGAAAATGAGTTCATTACGGAGAATTAGGAAAACATATCTTCATCCTATCTTTCTCTTTTAATTTTTTTTTAAACCCAAGGACCTAGTAGGTCTAATTTATTTAAGGAACTTACACCCAAAAAAGCCTTGAAAGAAAAATGGTATACTTAAATCCCTTGTTATTTCTGAAGTCTTTCTGAAGATGCTTGTGTATCTGAAGCCCTTCCATCTGCTCCTTCTCTCTGCACGTTCATGCAGCAGACTATGGTTATGTTTTCTGCATGGAATTCTAGATATTGTTGCTACGTCATCAAGCTTTCCTTAAGATCTTACCACTTGAGTTGCCAGGGAGTTGTCTTGTTTCGGCATAGCTTTTGCATTTGGATCAGTTCTGTTGTCAAGGTGTTTCATTTTTAATTTCCACGTATTTGTTTTTCTGCATGACTTTGAGCAGAACATGGGAGGCTTATCTCCTATATATTGTGTTCCTTGTCTTCTCATGTGCACTTCCTGAAAAGAAATGTCATTGCTCAGACTGAGAAACTAAAGGCCAAGAAGACAATGCTTATATCTGCTCTAAAATAATAAATCATGTGGTTGCTCAGCATGTTGGGGGAGACAAATAACTTACACTTGCATAAGTATCTAAAGGATGAAAGGAAAAAATTTCTGAATGCATTACATGTCTCTGATTCATTTCTTATGTAGCTCATTTCATCTCTAGAGGAAAACAGATTTTTACCATCTTTCTTTTCTATATTCAATCATGGGCCATATTTCTCTCAGGGTAATGGTCAAGACCTAGGTTATAATTTCCCTCTGGCATAACCTTAACTTACCAAACACTAAAAATCCACAAAACAGAAAAAGGGGAGGGATAACATATTGGTGTTTGTGGCACTAACATTTTAGATTTATTGCATTGCCTTGGAATGTAGATACAGAATTTCTTCAGACTCTCCGATTTCTCCTTTGACTTCTTCAGGAAGTCAAAACAATCACATGGGGAAAAAAAAACAAAATTAAAATAACCGAAAAACAAACAAAAAGAAACCCAGAGTTATCATTAAAGGTCATCAGCAGCAAAAAATGAAAGACCAAGCATAGCAACCAGCGTGGATGCTTCAATAGCACTAGCTGCATTCCTTGTGAGAGCTGTCGCATGGTATTCTCTCTTCCTCCATCCTTGACTTTAGTTTTACAGCGCATGGTATGGCTGTGACATTTACCCGCATCATGGATTGGAATCGAACACCATGTCACCCTCCAAAAAGCATGGGGATGGTTTTCTGTATACAGTGCCTTTTATATGCTTGATTTATGCTTGTACTTTCCATGTGAATAGTGTATTCAGTGGTTTTGACCATTTTCGCTTTTTTTATATAGTTTCAGAAAAGGACACTGACCACAGTTGTTATTTTTTTTCTAATCACTTTAAAAAATGTTTTTTACTTCACTGAATGTGTGATCTCTAATTGAAAGCCTGAGCCTATTTTTTTCCCTCATAAGTCATTTACAGTTTAATAAGTTAAGGGTGTAATTTTTTTTTCTAATGGCATGTTAATGACAAACATGGCATGCTTTTGTGGACTTTTCTTTCCTCTCCCCCTCAAAAAAAATAAAATAAAAAAGATTACAGGATCATTTGGGATTGAAAAGTATTATCATATTATCAAACAATTTAAGAAATAGTCACGTCTCTCAACATTGGCAGTGTCCTTTTGTGTGTCTTACTAATCTTTCACTTCATATATTGTTTCATCGATACACATGAATGTAGCCTTGCCTTTTCATTATGGGAGAAAGGGTCTTACCAATATGAACTGTTTTCTGATTTAGAAAAAAAAATGTGACAAATAAATCTAGCAGTCAGAGGTCTGTAGTTTTTTATCTCAAGGCAAGTTCTTTCAAAATCAGTTTCAATATATATCCAATTCTATTATCCTATCTCTTTATCAAATTGTGTTATGGAATTTCTTCCCAAGTGCACCATTCAACACACAGGAACAAGTTTATATGCTGCAAGGTGGTGTGATGTCATTGATAGATAATTGGCCTTGGAGTTAGGAAAACTTAGATTGAGGTCCCTCTTCTAACACATACTGGCTGTGTGACCCTGGGCAACTCACTCAGCTTCTTAGCATCTTAAACAATTCTATGAAACTAAAAGTTACATATTGGTTTTATCTATTAGTTTCATATCCAAGATCATATGATCAGAATAGCATAGAGAGTAGATAGGTTGTTAACAATAACAGTTAGGTAACATTTTTATAGTGCTGTAAGGTCTGCAAAGTGCTTTATAAAAAATATCTTTATCCTCACAATAACCCTGGCAACTAGGTGCTATTATTATCCTCATTTTGCATTTGAAGAAACTGAGGTCTGAGAAGTTAAGGGACTTGCTTATTAGCATTACAGAGTTAGTAAGTGTCAGAGGCTGGATTTGAACCCAGGTGTTCTATCCATTGAGCCATCTAACATTCAAACCTGGAAGGAACACTAAAAAGAGTAGGCTCCAACCCCCTTCCCCCCTCCCTTATTTTACAGGTAAGGGAACTGCGTGACTTGCCCAGGGTCACACAGCTAGTAAGTATCTGAGGCAAGATTCAAGCTCAGCTCTTGCTGACTTCAAGTTCCCCACAAAGATGAACCCACAGGTGCAGACCTAAAAGAAGAAAAGAAAAAAGAAAAACAATGTTATAATGTATAGAGCTTAGCATAGTAGTTTAAATTGATTAAGTATTCAATAAATAGCAGCAAATTTGTTGAGAAATAATGAAATTTCTCATATTCTGAAGTTGATATTTAATGATATGAAATGGGACTTCCCTATTAAGATTCAGAAGAGTACCTCCTTTATCAAAAAAAAGAAGTGTAGAATAAATAATTCTAGTTCAGTTGTTCATTTTTCAAATAAAGTGTGGGATCTTTGGGCTCTACAAGTCACCCAGCCTATACTCATCCCAAAACTGACCATGTCATCACAGTACTCCCTTTTGAAATGGACAGAGTATTTAGCATTTTGTTCCTGCTAAAATCATCATAGTCAGTGTGCCCATTTGCATGTGAACACATTCACATACCCAGCTTTGGGATATGCATGTCCTGTGCACCACAAGCTGTATTACTTGCTTAAATGTGTGAGAATACTGATGTGAGGCTATCATATGCATCTTAATTATGTTTGCTTCTTAACAGGAGTCCACTGAGAGTTCCAATACAACCATTGAAGATGAAGATGTGAAAGGTATGATTGTACCCTAAACACCTGGAAAACTGAGGGACGTATAGACTCATAGTAATGGACAAATGTAGGAGTGGATTATTTTTGGAGACAAGAATATTGTTGCTTTCTGAATGGTATTATAATAATAATAATATCCAAAGTATGCTTATTTTTTTATTTAAAAGATTTTTATTTTATTTAAAGTTTTTTTTAATTTATTTTTATTTTTTATTTAAATTTTTTTTAAAATTTAAAGTATGCTTATGATTGTCTTAGGTTTGCTGGAAACTTAATCTTATAATGTAATTTTAAAGCCTCAGACTTCACTTTTGTTTATTCAAGTGACATTGCATCAATGTACAATTATACCAGGTAGCAGATTTCATTTAAAACTGTTAAGTGCATAAGTGGAATATCAGAAGAAGAGTGTGATATAATGGCAGAGAGAGAGTCGTCTTAGGAATCAGGAAAACTCCATGGAGTTTATGTCTCACTTTGAAACCAACTAGCTTAGGTGACCACGGGCAGTTATGTAGCCTTTCAGTCACCCCCGCAAAACTCCCTAAGACTAGAAGGTGCAAATGATAAGTAGCTGATCCGTATCAGTGAAGACAGTTTTCATAACGATGAAATCACTGGTTAGGAACAGGAAAAAAAATAGCATTATAAATCCCACTTGAAAGACAAACTGTGAAAATGACAAACTACATTGTCAGAGAGCCAGAATCTTCTGATGTGCTATTGTCTCTAGGGTGATATTCATAACTCTCCTTTTGCTAGTTCATTACCAGGTATTTTGTGTATTTTTACATTTCTTCAGATTTTTTAAAATTCTCTTTAGTGTTTTATTCTGGTGTTGATATGAGAAAATTTCAAAATCCTGCCATATTTATTGTTATTTCCTAAGGAGTTCTACACATATAGCACACATTCTGATATAAGTGAATTTGCTTGTTTAAATTTTTATTTTTTCCACCAGTTGTTTTGATTATATTACTTTGTTTCAGTTCTTCATAGTATTATTTTCCTTAATGTAGAGTATTAGTTCGTAGCAGTTCTTTTATTCTGTTCATAATGCATTTCTGGTCCAATTGAATCACTTGGCAGGCACATATCAAAGGAAGTTGAACATCAGTTTGTTTGGTTTTTTGTTTCTTAATTCCTGAAACAATTTCATTAGAGTGTTTGTTTTTAAATAACTATGTAGCCATTACTGGTATTATTTTGGGTTGCCCTGAATAAAAAGGTCTTCCAGTAAAGTTTCGTATCAAATATGAACTAAAGAACCAGGACATTTTCAGTGACTGTGTAGTCATAGACATGTGGGAAAGCAAAAAGGATTATGGTCAACAAGTTTTCTGCATCATTTTCAGTTGAATGGAGCAATTAGTAAAAGTTGGTAGAACAGATACCTTGCTGTATTTATCACACTGAATCACTCATCAAACTTTACCCATAGTGTGGGCAAGTCAGTACATCTGCAGAAGCTATAGAAGAGTAATTTCTTTAATCAGTCTGCTCATCAGTGCCTAGTCTGTGTGCTGCAGTGAAGAGCAACTCAATGCAATGCTGATACCAGGCTTGTTAGACAAGATGTGTTAATCAAGTGAAGAGTATATTTGAGGCAGCTAGATGGTACAATGGATGGAGTGCTGGTCCTAGAGTCAGGAAGATTTGAGTTCAAATCCAGTCCCAGACATGTACTAGCCATGTGACCCTGGGTAAGTCACTTAACCTCCACCTTCCTCAGTTTCCTCAACTATAAAATGAGAATAATAACAGCATCTGCTTGGCAGGGTTATTGTGAGGATTAAATGAAAAAATATTTGTAAAGTCCTTATCACAATGCCTAGCAAATGGGAGCTATGTAAATGCTTATTCTCTTCCCTATCTTTTTTTAACTCCTCCAGAGTTTCAGAAAATAGCATAACAGCAACAACAATAGTAATTACTAACATTTATATATTGCTTTTAAGGTTTGTCTAACATTTTACATATATTATCTCATTTGATCATTTCTTATTGGCCCAATCATCCAAGCAATATTTGTGGGTTTTATTTGTTTGTTTGTTTAATTTACATATTTGTTTCAAGTCTTCATTTGCATCATTCCCTATGGAATTTTATAGATAACTTCAACATGAAACTAAGAGAAAGAATATTTCCTATATCTCATCCACAGTTATCTTCTCTTAGGAATATGCTTAATGAAGATGGAAGATAATCCTTTCTTAACATAGTAGAAAATGAAATGTGATGGTCCACCCCTACAAGGAAGGGAACGATGATCTTCCTTCATTCCCCTTCTCTCTCCTCTCTTTCTCCCCTTTCTCCTAGAGTCTCCTTAAAGGCATTAGACAACTAGTCAGAAAGTGATTATACGGGACCTTTTACTGGTGCTGGGTCCAGCTGGTGTTGATTAGCAATTCTATTGCCCATGAGTAGTTCTGTGTCATAGTTCCAGGATGGAGAGGAGTGCTGGTGGTTGCTCACAAGGGAACAGGAGCTCTAGTCACAGTTCCAAAACAAGCACTAGCACATGTAGCTACAGGGGAGCAGCGGCCCTTCCTGTGTAAAGACACAGATCAGAAAAGCAGTGACCACACTCTTCCTACATCATACCATCTTAGAAGCACCAAAAACTTGCAGACCACCAGAACTAGTTTTGGAAACAGCAGCACAAAAAAGCCTGAAGCTTGTCCTAGTGCCTTCTTACTCCCAGGTGAGCAGAGCCCAACTTTAACATAAAGTTTAAAGTCAAGAAACTTGGTGAAAATTGAGCAAACAGCAAAATTAATTTGACCCTAAAAAGCTACTACAGTGGCCCAGAAGACCAAGACATAAACCTAGAACAAGACAACAGTATAACAGCAGCTACAAACAAAGCCTCAAAGAAAAATGCTAATTGGACTCAAAACCCACAAGAATTCCTGGAAGAGTTACAGAAAGGGATGAGTGGTAGAGGGGGAAAAAATGAGAAAAGAAATGAGAAGGATGCAAGAAAATTAACAACTTGGTAAAAGAGGCACAAAAAATTCCTGAACAAAATAATGCCTTGAGAAACAAAATTGGCTTAATAGTAAAAGAGGCACAAAAATTTATTGAAGAAAATAACTCCTTAAAAAGCAGAATAGGTCAAATTGGAAAAGAGGTACAAAATTCACTGAAGAACTTCTTAAAGTTAGAATACTCCAAATGCTAAAAGAGGTACAAAAATCTTACTTAATAAAATAATTCCTTAAAAAATTAGTATTGGGCAAATGGAAGCAAATGACTCCACAAGACATTGAGAAACAATAAAACAAAGTCAAAAGAATAAAAAAAAATAGAAGAAAACATGAAATATCTCATCAGAAAAACAATTGACTGGAAAATAGATCTAGGAGAGATAATTTAAGAATTATTGGACTACCTAAAAGCCAGAATCACAGAAAGAGCCTGGACATCATATTTCAAGAAATTATAAGGGAAAACTACCCTGATATCCTAGATCCAAAGAATAAAATAGAAGTTGAAAGAATCCAGTGGTCACCTCCTGAAAGAAATCCTCAAATTAAAACTACCAGAAATATTACCTGAATTCCAGAGTTCCCAGGTCAAAGAGAAAATACCTCAAGCTTCCAGAAAGAAAACAGTTGATGTATTGTGGAGCCACTGTCAAGATCACACAAGATTTAGTGCCTTCTACATTAAAGGAGTGGAAACCTTAGACTATGATACTCCAGAAGGCAAAGGAGCTAGGATTATAACCAAGAATAACTTACCCAGGAAAACCAAGTATAATCCTTCAGGGGAAAAAATAGATAATTAATGAAATAGAGGACTTTCAAGCACCCTGATGAAAAGACCAGAACTGAAAAGAAAATTTGACATCCAAACAGAAGACTCAAGAGAAGCATAAAGAGGTAAATGTGAAAGAGTAATTATAAGGGACTCAATAAATTTAAACTGGTTACATTCCTGTATGGAAAGATGATATCTGTAACTCTTAAGAACCTTATCATTATTAGGGCAGTTAAAAGGAGTTTACATAGGCAAAAGGCATTTCAATTAGGTTGAAAGATCTCCAAAAAAAAGAAAAATGAAGGGATAAAAAAGAGGCAAGAGAGATGTACAGTGAGAAGGGAGGAGGGAGAGGTAAAATGGGGAAACTTTTCTCACATAAAAGAGGCACACAAGGAAGAGCTTTCACAATGGAGGGGGAAATGGGTGGGCAATACTTGAACTTCACTTCCATCAGAATTCATTTAAAGAGGAAACACACACACACACACACACACACACACAGGGTTGTATATAGAAATGCAATTTACCCAATAGAGAAATAGGAGCAGAAGGGGATAAGAGATGGGGGAGGGGTGATAAAAGGGAGAACAGATTAAAGGAAGCAGTGATTAGAAGAAAAAAAAAGACTTCTGAGGAGGTTTAAGATAAAGAGAGAAGAAGGAGGAGGAGGAGGAGGAGAAGGAGAAGAAGAAGAAACTGAATAAAATGAGATGGAAGAGGAAACACAGTAATCATAACTGTGAATGTGAATGGGATGAACTCACCCATAAAATGGAAGAAGGTAACAGAACAGATTGGAAACCAGAATCCAATAATATGTTGTTTATGAAAGATACACTTGAAACAAAAAGATACACACTGAGTTAAAATTAGGGGCAGGAGTAGAATCTAATATGATCTGAGACAGAACAAAAGCAAAAATAGATCTGATTTAAAGGGATAATCAGGGAAACTGCATTGTGCTAAAAGGTACCATATACAATGTAGTAAGATAGACAAATTTATATAAGTTTCTTTGATAAATGCCTCATTTCTCAAATATATACTGAGTATGGAACTGAGTCAAACTTAGAAAAATATGAGCTATTCTTCATTTGATAAATGGTCAAAAAATATAAACACATAGTTTTCAGAAGAAGAAATCAAATCTATCTATAGTCATATGAAAAACTGCATAAATCACTATTGATTTGAGAAAGGCAAATGAAAACAACTCTGAATTACCACCTCACACC